CCTCGCGTTATTTCCCGTGTTTGCTTTTTATCATTGTAAACTGATATATTGTCCGGGGCAGCTCCCCCTCGTAGCCACGTCGGACCCTGGAAAGAGAAAACGGCGAAGGGAACGCGAACGAGACGCGGCGGACACGAGACGGTCGCTACGGCTACCAATTCACGGAGTTTAACTCCGCGAACCGACGGATACGAGATTACTCGCCGACGCTCCACGTCGCCCCGTTCGAACGGGACGCAAATATACGTCGGCGTGCACGAACGTGGCTGGCAAACAATAAAAGTATACTGCCCCGGACGGGAGATTGAAATTTATCGCGCCAAGAAGCGTTTTCGTGGCGATATTCTCCCTTCGGAAGCGCTTCAATTATTTCGTTAACTTATTCAACGATTTTGTTCGCAGGGAAGACAAACGATCGGGGCGAAATTTTACGAAGAGAACCCAGCAAATCGTTTCAAACGATAATTAACCGCCTTGGAATTGTCGAAAGAAGAAACACCTATTTGCAACTCGATAGCAGAATGTCGAAAATGTGAAGAAACGAAGAAAAAGTTTAACCTATCAGAAACTAAACGATGTTAAATAGTGTGTGATGAAATGTTAGAATTTTTGAAAGAATTTTGAATTAAAAAGCTTATGTGACTTGCCAAATAAATAATACACTGTGAATCTTGAGGCACCATTATAGCTAAATCTATACTATTCTCTGTATACTGATACAAATGAACCACACAAATATGATCGAGCGTGAGGCTTGAAATAAATTAATTAAAAAAGATTCTGTACAGTGAATTGACCCTCGAACCTTTGTACAGTCTACTTATTAAGAACCTGGACGCAATAGATCTGTAAAAATTGTTATACAAATCGCAAGTACATTTAAAAACCTAATACACGCTTGTTTAATGATGCACGCAACTACCATCACTGACGATTATATCTTTGCAACGTTTAGGGACATGCTTCTTATTAACTTTTCAGTATATAGCGTGGATTAAGATCTCCATATTTTACGAATTTTGTAAATTAATGTTTCAAGTGACAGATTACGTTGTTCTCGAAGTTTAGGTATATTTAATTACTGACCAAACATTTTCTATTAGGTCAGTCTAACAGATAGATAAAATTGTTGTAACGAGTTTGGTGCTTTGGATTATTATCTTCTTAAAGACTCAATTCTCATCCATCGTTAAACTAAGGTTTTGCAGATTTTAGAAGACCTCTTTCATGCAATTTAATCATTTTTTTTTCATCCAAGTTGTTTGTGAATATTCGAACGTTAAAGCAGCCCCAAATGTACACTTTTTGTACCATTTGCTACACCAAGCCAGTTTAAGAGGAATCATATAACCTTCAAAATTATCCCAGGAAGATTATTATTCGATTTTCATTCACAAAGTTACAATATTCTAAACATTGGAAACGTTTCGAGCAAAAGTAATACTTATGTAGCTTCAATCGTGGTCAAGATTGTCCAGCAATTAAGTAAGGGGACTGAATTTGTATAAAATCAGCACAAATATATCTTCAAGTTTATCATCTAATCTATTAATAGCTAAAATTTAGAAAAACTTGTCAGAGTTAAGAAATTACGGTTATAGAAGTCGAAAATCTACGATAATAACAATGTTATTCGTTATGAATTTATTCTACACGATGTAATTATTACTAGTGGTTATTATTTAGATATTTGAAATGTTTGGGGAGGCTGATTGCTAGCCAAGTCTCTTTACTACGCGATAAAGGGTTAATTCCTAGAAATTCCTGGAAATTTCTCATTTAAGAAACCCACTCTCAAGAATTGCTCACCTTCTGTCTGCTCCATATTTGGCCCCATGTGATTATTTTTATTTTTTTAAATTTAAATTGACCCTAAAAGAGAAATTTTTTCAAAGATACAAGTCGTTCCAATCAAGGATCGATCGTGTCATTTATTGTACTGCTGGTATTTCGAACAAACTAGATTTTAAACACAATTATAACAGATTTTATGAAATAAAATCAACCTCATTAGTCGATTGTCACATTCTGTAGATGCTAGCTGTGACCAGGATATTCTACGAGTAGAATTTTTAGCGTCAACTTGAAAAACTTTGAAGACGCGTTAGCGGTTTGTTTAAAATTTCTCGGCGTTTTGTTTTAAATATAATATAAAAGCATTTCGACAGGGACGGACTCGCGAGACGGTGTTCGAATTTAAATTTTCCTTTGTCTTTCGAGTGCTTGCGTATGACACTGCGTCGCGCACGCTCGTCACATGACACGGCACGTGTACCGACGCCAAACTCGTCGCGAAGCAAACAATGAATTAAGCTTTCATCCTGGCACTTCAGATCAGGATGAAAGCTAGTTCAATATAAGATTTGTAAATAAACGCCCGCATGTCGAGGTCCCTTCGAGAAGTTAATCCCTTCCGGAGCTACGATTAACGCGAGATCTTGTTCAATTTCCAAGGAAATCGCCAACACTCGGAACGCAAACGTTACATTCGGAAATTCACGATAATTCGCTGTAATGGTTACTATATAGCTTCTATTTTGGCAGAGTTTTGTCGTTATTATATTAATATTATTGATCTTTCCGCCATGTTGTAATGATCATTTTCATAAACAATGTAAATACAATAATGTACGAAAGAGATATTATCAGTTCAAAAAAGCTACATTTATAGAAACTGCAAATCAGAAAATTGTACGAAATCAACAAAAAAGACATAGTCTACAACTTACGTGGTGTATGTTCAGCTTAATTACACGAAGTCACCAAAGAACAAAATTACAAGTTACTTTTCAAATGAAATTTTTTATGCATAAGACAAGATCAAACAAGAAAGATTAAGATGTGTATGGATCTAAATACTGTAATTTAAGGTTTGCCGAAGGAGTCTGACGAGTCTACCAGGAACGAAACGCCATTTTCCAAAAACGATGTCCGTTTCGGAACAGATCGATCGATCGTGGCAACTATTTGCATCGTATCGAGGTAACAAAATACTTAACGCGGTCGTTTGGACGTTCCGTCGCTTAAAGTCCAAACTCCCGACGGCGACGGAGAAAAAAATGCGCCCGCGTATTCACCCCCTGACGTCCCTTCGTCCGGACACGAGCTCCGTAATCCGTTAATCACAGTAGACGCGGAAGAGGGTAGGAAACAGGCGCGTAATCTAAGAAAAGGCGTCGGAGCATTGGCGTCAGTGGAAAGTGGTTGTAAGTGAATGAAAGTGGATGCAAAGGTGGAGGTGTGGTTGCTACGAGGTCGTCTGCCTAGCAAAGCTGGCATGATGCGGCACGGAAGACAGAGGTTTGTCTGTCTTTATCAGCCAGCCAGGTAGAGCCCTCGAAGCCGAGCTACGCGTCTCTATCGCCACCCCTCAGGGAAACCCGTAGGGTGACGGACGCCCCCGATTGGCGTGGCTCCCTCGAACGAGGGAGGAAATCCCGCGCCACTATTGGCCACTCGCGAATCCATACTCGTTATTCATTCGTTGCCTCATTCGTCGACCCCTCGATCCTGTACTCTCTTTCTCTCTTTCTCCGTCTCGTTTCGCTTTTAACCCCCGTGGTAGCCCGATGCAACTCACCCCATGCGCGCCACGGGAATCTTTTCAATGCACTTCACCGCCAGCTTTCACCTTTTGCCGGATATTTCTAAGCAAATATTTTTTTAATAAGCACGCGCGTACCGATTCGTCGTTAATGCCATTCTGACGCGACCTCCTCGTTCACTTCCGCCCCCGAGCTTCCCACCTCGCTCCGAATTCGAGTCTGTTGCTATGTTTACGCGCTGGTTCGGACGATTGTGGTCGACGAAAATTTGTAGCAACGTTCGTTACCTGGTCCGAGCCGAGGATCATTTTCCAGCATCGAAGCGACGAAACAGCGATTGGGCAGACCGTCCAAGTTTCTGCGGAGGAGGTGGCGCAGCCAGGGAAGAAGGGATCGATGAAAAGTGTCGAACAAGGAAGCTGGTCGTCGCTCGCCTGCACTTTTAACGTCGCCGCGCTCCGTGTCGCTTTCGTCCCGATGGAACGAGAGGAGAAAAAAAAAAGGGAGTAAAAAGGTGGCCGTGCGGAGGAAAGACGAACACTACGGGAACGGTGCCGGAGGAACAGGGATGGAGCATTCCTTGGGGTGTTGCGGCTTACGAGCGGGCAACGAGATGGGCGTGATTTTAGGTTGCTCATTGCTCCGCCCCTGGCACCGCCCCATTGGTGGTTGCTGCTACCTTCGACTCGTGACCTCCCTTCACCCTTCTGTCTGCAGCTGAAACCTTCGTCGGGTTTCGCCAGCAGCCACCGCACACACGTCAGCAGCGGCAAACGGCGCCTCCAACGGCCAACGGATCGTTCGCGATCTCCGTCGATCATCCGCCAAGGGATCAACGGTGCGAAATCGCGAAGGGATTTTTTTGGGAACCGATCCATTTCCAGTGATCGTGTGTTGGGTGATCGGCTATGACGTTACGCGGGACCTGGTGAGGAGCAAGTTCTGGGCGCTGAACGCGCGGAACCTTTTCGTCTGTGTACAATCCCGACAGTGTTGTTTCACCAGGACACGGTTACGACATGACGCAGACATAGACAAGTGAACAAGTTCCTACAGAATACTCGACCATGTAAGACGGCGTCGATTCGATCAAGGTCTCGGTTTCTCGTTAGAATGACAGATTGGAGTTCGGAGGAGGAGTTTCACGAGTGTTGACGCGATGATCGTGTACCTAGCTGAGAAGGCGGAAGTATCAATTTGCTGAAAGGTTCAGTGTCGAGCGTTCCTGGTCGCAATGGCACACGGTCGAAACTCAAAGCGGAAAGATTGAACCGGTGAACATCGATGATGTCGACGGACGACTCGAGAGACTTTCGGGAACTGGACGCCGACGTATCGAACTCCGTCATCTGTCGTCATGCGGACCGAAGGCTCCTTGAACTGGTGACCCCGACGAAATCGTCCCAGCAACGTCGCTGTTCCCGAATGAACTGCAAGATCAAGGATCGTAACTAATGCCGCTACGTCGTCGAGAGATTTGAACTCTGTTCGTTTTGGAGTCCCGCACGAATCGGGGGTTGGTGATAGTGTTCAGGATTATTGGAGGGTCGAAGCGTGGTCAGATCACGGGGCTGATTGTCCGTGATCGGAGGAGACGCTGCAAAATTTTCAACCGTTTCGTAAGTATTCTCTCTTTGAAAATCGCCTTTCGTAAGCATGGAACGACGAGGTAGACGGGGGGTGGATTACGGGGCGAATGACTTGGCGCAATTAGCCAGATTTTACGAGTGGAGATGAAACGGAGACAGCCGGGATCCGGGCTGGCAACTAAATGGATTAAAACGCCCGTCGCGTTCGAATGCCCGCGCAAGCTGGCGTGACACGAGTGTCTCGTGAAAGACGCGTTTTTTTAAATACCAGAATTCGACAGGGAACTAGTTCCCTTAATCGTATTTCAAAAACAGTTTTTGATTTTTGTTAATGTTTGAAAAAATGCACCGAAGTTCTTGCAAAGATTCGTTTGTTTTATTTGACGAAAAGTTTGTTTATATTTACTGGAAACGTTCGATAACGAGAAAAGGTCATCGTACAAAATGGCGGTTGATAAATTGCAAACTGGAAAGCACCGAAGGAATTGAGTGTCAAAATTAGGTAGATTAGGACCTTTCCATAATTAGCTGTTATGTGTAAATTGCCCTAGTGAAGGAGAATTTGTGTACTTATGGCTATAAAGCGTTCAAAATTGTTAACACTATGTAATATGTACAATATTCCAATTACTAGAGAACTATTATTCGATATTTGGTTCCTCGAGTAAAGTCAGACACATTTGAATTTTCAAAAGGACTTCCAATTCATAGTTCCACAATCTTATTAGAGTAATAACATATAGACGCATACCATAAGAGAATTTACTTTCAATTTCGTAAAAGAATTAGGTAATTAAAGAATTTAAAAATCACAGCACAAATCTGAAACTGCTGACACTTTCGTGACTGTCTCAGTCAGTGTTTCCGTGAAATAGAAACAAATATTGCACGATAAAACGGAAGTTTGCTTATTTGTACCATCGAGCAACAGATTACGTTGAATTATCCACAAGCGACGGCCCCTTTAAAACTTATTTGCATCGGTAATCTAAATACTCCATCGGTTATCTACGATATCGATGTTCAATCGACGATCGGTCCTTGTCATCAACAATTTCACTTTCTCCAGGTCGCTACATTGCTTACAAATTGTCCTGGATTCGGTGATATAGGTATAGTAACCCAACGCTCGTGGACTATTCCGCGCCTAGTGATGTAGGCCAGACATCGCTGGCGGAATATTCCACTTCTTGATGCAAATCAGTTAATTATAATACAAAATATTTATTCATTTATTTCAGTCATGAACGGGAGTAACCCTGCTCTACAACAAAATTATGTACACGTGCAATTTATTGCAATCAATCTATTCGAACGCAGTTCAATGAGTACTTCATCAACAGATTCGGGCATAGATGTTTAATTAATACGAGTTTCACTAATCGATGCACCTTTTAAGCAGTTTTTGGCAGACCATAAGTATACAGTGTAAAACATATTGGGAAATATCATTGAGCGGTTCCATAAATATTCATGCAAAAATATACATGTGTGATTATGTTAATATTGTATATTGGAGAGCTAGAGAGAAGGCTGGAATTCAGATTCGGTAATCAGAAGTTTCGGGAAAGGTTATTTCAGTATTGGATAGGATTTCATATCACGTAAATTAATGAATAATAGCATTGTTATCATGGAAATGTATGTGTTTATTATTCAGAAGTATTCTGTATAGTTCTTTGTAGTATATTATCAGATTATTGACTTTAAAGTTTTCCTAGTTGAAATCAGCTTGATCTATTGGCAATGAACTTGTTTTTTTTACTATAAATGATATATTTTTAACTAGATGTTCAGTGTTAGATGATTATAGAACTGCTGTAAATTATTCTGTAAAGTTATAAATTTGTTTTTCATTTTTTTCGTGAATATAAACATATAACAGCCCATATATTTGCGAATAAGATTCTTCAATTATGGATATGTAAAGCCATAATATTTTAGATTTTAAATTATCTTTTGCATATTTGTTCAACCTTAAAAAGCCAATAAATGACAAGTTACTGTGATAAATCTTCGAATATAATTTTGTAAAACAAATTTCATATTCAGATAAATTGAAATATATTATTTTGATTCTATTTCTATCTAAAACCTGGCCTGCAGAAAATGTTACTTCATTTTCTTTGCTCGTCAAATTAAAAAACAGTGGACCACTGATATAAATAAATATATTTTTGCAATTATTGTTACATGGACATTAAGATAAATTTATTATTAAATCTGCCTAATTTAGAGCCCAAAAATTAGATATTATTTGAGATTCTTTCAACACGCTAGTATCAACATTTCCATGCATAATTATTTATATTTTTTCAGACTGTGGGAATGTTTTTTCAAATAATAATTGATATTGTTGAAACACAGGGGATAATTCTCGTTTTGATAACTACAATTTTCTTCACGAATAACAAATAAAAAATTTAGATTCGTTCGTAAACGAAATTCCATTTCTTAATTTTTAAATCCATTCATAAGTCGTAATCTATTAGTGGATATTTTAACACTACTTCTACTGTGGCTTTATGCATACTTCTTCTGATATTTTTTACATTTGGATGCAAACAACTGTGGAAACAATTATTAATGTGTATTATCTTATTTCTAAAATCATGTTTTCTTTGTTTCTTTTATTTTAACGCAGATTCAACTTCCAATGGAGATTATTCTGCCACGTAATTTACAGTAATGTCTACGTTATATGATACAAAGGTTTCCTACATCGATAGATTACATTCTTTTAGGAAGGAAACATTGATCGATAGTGGGAGAGAAAAGCTCTGTTTTCTCAATTTATCAATTAATTTAATCCTTTGATTATCCATAATACGTGGTTTGCATTTTGATTTTTATTTCCACAACTGCTACTGATGAAATTAGAAAACAATTTCAATTGAGAATTTAAAAAATACTGCCAAAGACGAAAACTTGTTAACGAACGAATGTAAAATAAACGAATAAAACTTTGCTCGTCTGCTAATCGTAGACAAAGCTTCTTGGGTCTCGAAACTGCAATGGTTTCCCATATAGCGAGGTTCCATGTCACGCGAACGCGTATCGGTTCGATTGGACGTCCCCGATTCACGGTTCGATTCCCAGTTAGGGTAGTCGCAGTGACTAACACAGAAGTTCGGTAGAGATCAAAGACGTTTCTCCAAGGACCATCCACAGTGGCCCCTCGATATTGTTCGCGGAGTCATTCCCACCAATTTCTAAAACTGCTTCGACGAGACGAACGTTATCTGTCACTTACTTAACAGAAATAAAAGTTTTATATTTTCCAATTTATATATCTACGAAATTCAATTGAAAATTCTACAAAAGATGGATATATTTGCTCTCACTACTACTACTTTTCATGATAGTGATGTAAATAAGCAGAGAAATATCAATAAAAGTAAGAAAAACGTAGCACTATAATGCAAATATAAAAGATAATAAAGTTCTATTAAAACTTTGAAAGAAACAGTTGAAAACAGAAAATGAGATGAAAAAGTTTACAAACAATAATGCAGACGATATAATAGAGTCTCGCAAGTATGGTTATTAAATGTTCATATATGAGACTAATCAGGCTTCCTCGAAAGTGTTAAAAACGAGGTTTAAAAATGAGGAAGAAGAAACGCGATTCCTGGAATGCACCTTCCTTTGATAACGTTCGCGTCGTGGAAGCCAGTGACCATTAGTATGGTCATTAAATGTTCATATATGACCATTATTAGTATGGTCATTCAATGTTCATATATGAGACAAATCAGGCTTCCTCGAAAGTGTTAAAAACGAGGTTTAAAAATGAGTAAGAAGAACCGCGATTCCCGAAATGGACCCTCCCTCGATAACGTTTACCAGCGACTATTAGCGAGGGATTAGTGTGATCCGTGCAACATGTATCGCGAGAACGACATATGCGAAAAGTTGTCGTCGGTACGAACAGACTCTCCGGTACCCTGGCCTAAGAACAAGCCGTACAAGTGGCACTGGAAATTAGCGAACAATTAGCTCGCCCCGTTTATGTTTTATAAACACGGCTGCCTATCGACGGGCCATTATTTTGAAGCATTCGTGCAACGCGCCTATCAACGCTCTACCTATGGGCCACGGTGTACGCGAGCTACCTAAGTGGCTACGGAGTTCGAGTGTGTCCGAAGTATCCGGAACAGTATTCGAGCGTGGTAGTGCTTAGGCTTTTTGAGTATCGCGGGCACGAACGAGGAACACGTTGGAGGGGCCGTAGAAGGGGTCTTGTAGTGTTTCGTTGCGCTTAAAAGGAGGGGGTTTTACGGAGAGGGTTTCTCGCTGCAAGGCAGCTTTGGTGTTGCAGCCTCTTCAAACCTCGTGCAAACACTCGGGGACAGGGCGTTCGCCTGGTACGACGATTAATATCCCAATAAGGCCTCGTTCACAGGGCTCGCTCGACCGAGCTGCTTCGTTCTTTATTCATTGTATCGTAGCTCCTCCCGCGGGATAAACTGCCCGATACCGGGGTTCCGTCACTTTTATTCTCAGAGGCTTCCTCGGCCTTCCCTTCTCGCGGAGTCTCCTCCTTCAATTGCGGTTCCGTCTTGCGATCGTCGATTACCTCGATCCACAATAAACCGGAGTCTCGTGCAATGACATTCAAATTACATGCATTTTATTAATTTTTTAAATTTAGATCTTTCCACTACTCCAAAGTGGTCTCTTCATCTTGATTTCCATTAATCTTTTTAACCGTATGTCTTGTTGTCACATAAGTTTATTCGACAGTCTAACATTGACTAGGATAAAATTTGTAATTTAGTAGAAAACAAATGAAATTTGTCAGCTCGAAGCAACGAAATTTTCTCGCGTTTTGTAAGTATTGCCAAAATCTGAGCACACTTTTCGGCCGACCCAACATTTCGGGACACATCCAGTGTCTTTATTTATAAACTGGAATCTCCGAAGGAGGGTTTCCGGCGCTATAATCGATATAAATCAATCTTTATCAGGGAATCGTGGCGTACTTATCGTTGGCGAGTTTCGTGAAAATCGTTGGAGGTTGGTGACCG